CATTTGCGGACCTTATTTCGCATTTGCGAACATTGTTTGACTCAGTTGGCTTCGCAATTGCGATTCACATGTTCGCATTTGCGAATGTTGACTTTGTTGGTTGACTTCGCAATTGCGTTCCACTACTCGCATTTGCGAATGTTGACTTTCTTGGTTGACTTTGCAATTGCGTTCCACTGCTCGCATCTGCGACCCCTGAGGCCAATTTTTAGATTTTTGCTTTTGAGCCCCTTTTTGACTTATATTTGCTTGGTTTCTTCCTGATCACTTCTAAATCACATAAAACCTGTAAAGTAGAAAACCTGTAACTCTAAGATTAAAGACGAGATAAGTTGGTAAATTACCCAACTTATCAACTCCTCATGCTCATCTAACTCACGGGTACTCTTCTAGTACCTTGGCTAGCAATGGCTTAGCCTTTCTGGGCAGCTATGAGTCTATTTGGCGACATCGTTACATATAAAATATTTCGTTAGAATGCTGAATTCTTATAACATAGCTCTATCGCATGATCTAGAGAAGAAGGAAGGACAACCATTCTATAATTCCATGTAGCCTCATGTTCATAATATGGCGTGCAACATACTCTTGAACAAGAATCTACTAGACACGGCATGTAAACACCCTAGGAATGAACTGCTCTGATACCATATTTGTCACTACCCACCGATCATCCCTAAACCTGATGATAATCTACTAATCATGAATATAAACTGATAAACTGAACAAGCATAAGAATAGCTGATAAGAACTATAAATCTGGAAAGCCGAAAAGGCTAACACAAGCTAACATATAAAAATATACTAACTGGATAGGTGCATAACTACAGGCCTTTAGGAGTGCTGAACTAAATAAGTACTGGACGGAATAGGGCCCCTACATACCCGAGCTAGCTCATTATACACATACCAAAAGATAAATAACTCCCGGAGTAAGCAGAATGACTCCAATAGCTGGTGGATGGCCTACTGATGTGGCTCAAGCGTTGATCTATCTAAATCTGTGCAGCATGAAATTATGCACCCCAGAAGGGACGTGAGTACAATATATACAAACTATGTAGGTTGTATAGAATGTGTAAATCGTACTAAAGTATGATTGTATCCCGTAAATCTAAATATAAGTTGAAAGCTAAACAAAAGTCTAGACTAGCAATTGATTTGGAACTGAACCGAAGATTAAGCTGAAATTGAACTACTATCTGATTTGGTACCTATCTAGAGTTATGGGATATATCCCCCTAATAAGGTAACTGTACATATGAACTAGCCTCATATATAGTCATATGACACATGTGGCAGCATCATATGGACACAAGAGATCATGAAGGAAACCATAAACATAATCACAAACGTAATTTGACGCTCGTCGTCCATAATTTGAACGGAGGAGCCTATCCCTATTATAGGGAGAAACTAAGTATGTACATTAGATAGTAAGGCTAATTAACTCATTAGGATCCCTCTAGAATCAAGTTAGAACCAAGGAACTCAAAATTTGTCCAACTTTTTAAATTTTCAAATTTTTCGGCAGAGTTTCCCCTAATATTAGATGATCCCCAAAAATACAGCAAGCACTAAAATATACACGAGAATGGATACCCGGCCAATATGATAACATAGCATTAAAGAGATCCAGTTATCCACAAAAGTGTCAAACAATCGACAAAAGGGAATTATGAATGTAATGTCGGCTCATAGTGGCTAACTTGTGACATGAAAGTCTAAATATGATTTAGGAATAATCTAAGCATCAACACATGATAATTATGCTTATATAATCTTTAATGAATGTATTAGGATCATATGGGTGTTAGGTATACAAATAAACATCAAAGGAACGGAACAAATGAAAGTCCAGATGTCATAAGCGAAATGGGCGATTCACCCTTTTTGTATTTGTTGTGTTTTGAAGTTCCAACCTAAAATAATTTCTTTCATACTTCACATATGTAATTGAATACTATACACGGATACAATACATGCTGATATTTCTCTTCAAAAACTCTTAAAAGATCAAGAAGAAAGATTAGAACATAGCTAAACCAAATCATGCCAAAAATGAAACGAAAACCCTATATACATCTTGTGTTCTTTCTTCCAAACCTTCCAAAACTCAAGTTATCAGGAGAAAGGAGGACGGCAAAGTCTTACCTATGTCGTAAGGATCGCGTTGATGTGTTCGCTTCTTGATTTTGAGTTGCGGATAATGGAGTGCTTCAAAACCCAAAGGAACTTCTTGGAAAGCTATGGAAGCTCTACTTGTGTGTGAATTTGCTGGAAATGAGGAAAAAGAAGACCGTGTCTTCTATTTATAGCAAGGCTAAAAAGTCAACAACATTTGTGCTTCACCAGCCCTTCTTCCGATGCTCATGTCTCTTTATCTGGACATCGTATGGCTGAACGGTCAAGAGCATTGGAAACTACATTCCAAGAAATTCAATTTGATATATAATATGTCCCCAAAATACCACATATAGCATAGGAAATTAATTGTTCAAAAACTTTGTTACAAGGCAAATGGTCGATTTTTCCGCAACTTAAATTCGATTTTCCCAAACTTTATACTTATTTAAATCATGCTTAGCAAGTCATTTACACAATATACGATATCACAGAAGTATGGGGTGTAGCAGAACCCCTTTGTGAGCTATTTGAACCATGTTTGAGATTATAGAGGTTAATCTCCTGATAGAGCTTGATAAGTGCTATTTTCGTGATGTAATTTCCTAATTTGAGCTATGGTAGAATAATACGCACATGCATACACTTTAGCATGACACTTATACCAGTTTGTGGGTATGAAATTCGATATCCATTATTCATGTAAACGTGTTTATCAGCTTCTGTGTGATATGGATTGGACTGGTAGCATGTAACTACGCCTTGCGATTATGATTATTGGCACGTAGCTACGCCGTGTGGGTTGTGATCATTGGCACGTGACTATGCCATGCGGGTTGTGATTATTAGCACGTGACTACATCATGCAGTTATGATTATTGGCACGTGACTACGCCGTGCGGGTTGTGATTATTGGCACGTGACTACGCTATGCGGTTGTGATTATATGCATGTGACTGTGTCGTGCAGTTGATAATTATGGCACGTGACTACGCCATGCAGCGTATGGAGAAGGATTCATCCCCCTAAGGTGACCCTCTCTTGTTTTTATCTTGATGGTGTACATGCGGTATGAGGAAAGTTGATCAGTGGTTTGGTTTGGTTATTGTATTTATGGGGAAAACTGGCCAGTGGTTGATTCAATTTTTGCATTTCTTCTTTACTTGTAATTTCATTGGTTTTTTATCAGTTCTATTTGCATATCTTCTTTATATGCTGGATTGTTGACTGAGCAGAGTATGTTAAGTTATTGTGTACACCAAGGTGGCCTTATCTGTTGTTCCGGACGTCAATAACAACAAGCCTAGTAATTTCCTGCAAGTGGGGTCTGAGGAAGGTAAGATACACGCAACCTTACCCCTACCCTGGAAGGGCAGAGAAGCTGTTTCTGATAGACCCTCGGCTGGAGAACGGATGAAAAAAATGTAATGGAAATACGTAAAAATAACAACAAGATAAATATAGACCGAAGCCAAGAAAGCAGTTAAACTTTAGGTAGTAATAGCAATTTATGAATAAAAGAATATCATACTAACACTAATGCTAGCGAATTGAGTAAGACAGAGAAACACTCGACTACCTACTAGCTTTCCACCCTAATCTTCGACCTACACACCCTCTTATCTAGGGCCATATCCTCAGTCAGCTCCAGATGCGCCATGTCCTACCTAATAACCTCTCCCCAAGACTTCTTAGGCCTACCTCTACCGCTCCTGATACTCGCTGAGGCCAACCTCTCGCACCTTCTGACTAAGGATTCTATACTTGTCCTCTTAACGTGCCCAAACCATCTCAACCTCGCTTCCCGCATCTTATCCTCCACAGGAACCACTCCCACCTTATCCTAAATAACTTCATTCATAATCTTATCCAACCTGGTATTCCCACACATCCACCTTAACATCCTCATCTCAGCTACTTTTATCTTCTAGACATGAGGGTTCTTGACAGGCTAACACTTTGCTCCATACAACATAGTTGGTCTAACTACAACCTTGTAGAACTTGCCTTTAAGTCACAGTGGCACATTCTTATCACACAAGACACCGAAAGTGAGCCTCCACTTCATCCATCCTACTCTGATATGGTGTGTGACATCCTCATCAATCTCCCTATTATCATGTATTATAGATCCAAGGTACTTGAAACTACCCCTCTTGGGGATAACTTTATATCGAGCCTAACCTCCATATTCACTTCCTGGGTAACGTTGTTGAACTTGCACTCCAAGTATTCCGTCTTGGTCCTGCTCAATTTGAAACCCTTAGACTTTAGGGTCTACGTCCAGACCTCTAGCCTCTCATTAACACCACCCCGCGTCTCGTCAATTAGAACTATGTCATTAGTAATTAACATACACTATGTCACCCCTCCTTGAATGTGTCGCGTCAATGCGTCCATCGCCAAGGAAAATAGAAATGAGCTAAGAGTTGATCCCTGGTGCAACCCCATCACAAACAGAAAGTGTTCCAGGTCTTCTCCCGGTGTCCTAACTTGAGTCTTGGCTCAATCTACATGTCCTTAATCACCCTAATATAGGCTATTGGGACCCCTTTAGCCTCCAAGCATCTCCAAAGCACCTCTCTTGGTCCTTTGTCATAAGCTTATTTTAGGTCAATGAACACCATATGCAAGTCCTTCTTCATCTCCCTATACCGCTCCACCAATCTCCTCACATGGTGAATGGCTTCCAGAGTCAAACACCCCGCCATGAAACCAAACTGGTTCTTATTAATGGACACACTTCTCCTCACCCTCACTTCAACTACCCTCTCCCAAACTTTCATCATATGGCTAAGCACCTTAATCCCCCTATAATTATTGCAACTTTGGATATCACATTTGTTCTTATACAGTGGAATCATCGTACACCACCTTTATTCTTCGGGCATCTTATTCGTCCTAAAAATGATGTTGAACAGCCTAGTGAGCCATTCCAAACCTTCCCTACCCATATTCTTCCAAAATTCCACAGGGGTTAAGTCTGGCCCGGTTGCTCTACCCCTGTGTTTCTTATGCATAGCCCCCTCGACCTCCTCTACTCTTATGCACCTATAATACCTGAAATCCCGATGAATCTTGGAGTGCTCCACAATGTTCCTATCACCTTCTTCATTTAGGAATTTATGGAAGTATGTCTGCCATTTTCGTCTAATCTGAGACTCTTCCATCAAAACTCTACCTTCCTCATCTTTGATGCACTTAACATGATCCAGATCATGGGTCTTCCTCTCTCTCACCTTGGCTATTATGTATAACTTCTTGTACCCGCCTTTGGCCCCAAGCTCTTCATACAAATGCCCAAATGTCGTAGTCTTAGCCGTAGTAACATCTAACTTTGCCTCCTTCTTAGCCCTCCAATACCCCTCCATGTTAATCCTCTTCGCCTCCTCGTCTATGCTCTCTATAAGCTTCAAGTACGCCGCTTTCTTAGCTTTCACTTTCTCTTGTACCTCCTCACTCCACCGCCAGTCACCTTTGTGGCCGCCAGAGAAACCCTATGTGACCCCTAACACCTCTCTCGCAACTACTCCAATACACTTCGGTGTCGTGGTCCACATATGGCTCGCGTACCTAATGCTCCTCTAAGCTCCCAAAGCCAGCAACTCCCCCTCCCCCCAACTCCTACACTTTGTCATTAGTCAAGGCACCTCACTTGATCCTATGCTTACCATACACATCCCGCTTCTTCCTCTTCCTCATGACTCTAAGTCCATCACTAATAACCTATGCTGAGTCGTGAGATTCTGTCACACTTCCGGAGGAGTAGATAATCAATTTGAGCCTTGGCCAATGAATTTTGGAAGGTGACCAACTGCTCTTCCCTCTTCAAAAAACACGAGTTAACAATCACCAGATCAAAAGTTGTAGCACAGTCCAACAGCGAAGTACCACCTTCGTTCCTAACTCCAAAGCCAAAGCCTCCATGCACACCGTCATAACCCCCAGAGGTTGCCCCAATGTGACTATTGAAATCTCCTCCTATTAATAACTGCTCGGTGTGCGGAATTCCACGGACCAACCCGTCAAGGGATTCCCAGAAATGCCTCTTAATCTCCTCGTCCAAACCCACTTGAGGTGCCTAAGCACTAATTACGTTTAAAGTAGACCCTCTCACAACTAGCTTAATAGCCATCGGCCTATCATTCACCCTTCTAACTTCTACCACTAGCTCTCTAAGTTCCCTGTCAACCAAGATACCTACCCCATTCTTTCCCCACTCGTGCCCTGAGTACCACAATTTAAACCCATCAGTATCTCGAGCCTTAGAACCCACCCATTTGGTATCTTTGCTAACTCTATCGACTTCTTCATCAAAGTACCNCCGAGTACATAACCTTATTTTACCATCACTCGCCCCAGCCACTATAATCTAAGGAAATTATGCTAGAACTGTCGCTTAAACAGGCAAAGTATTAAACTAAAAGAGGCAGGTCTAACACTTAAGCTCTATACACTAATTATACGTACAGATTAGAAAAACAAACAAGCAAAAATTAAACTAGCAATAAAAATAGATATATAAAAGAAGGCCAGCCGAATAGAAAATAAGAATCAAAATTACATACTAGAAATCCCAAAATAGTTACTATCAAGAAAAGTAGACAGGTAGATGCACTAATTAAGAGTATACATAGGCAATCAAGAATTAGGCTTAAACTATTGCAAACTAATTTGTTAACAACAAGGAAAATAGAATTACTGATTGAAAGAACAAGAGGTACCAACTTTCGATAAAAGTACATATATAATATAAGGGAACAAATTATACTAAAACAAGAATGACGGAACCTGGATTGTAGATAGACTGCCAAATCAACTATACCCTGGTTGAAGGTCGCCTTGAGCCAAGGTACCCGCTTGAAATCTGACTGGCTCCTACTACAGCGGCGACCACCCGACTGGATAATTGCTCACCGAAAAACTGCCTGGCCTGAATACCAAGTGCCGACGCTTGTAGTCTACGCTGAAAATATGATCGAAGAACCTGTTCACAAACACAACAAACACACAAGCAAAAAGAGAGGGGGGACAAAACAGAGTTGGGAATGAGAAAAAGAGGGAAACCCATAGCATGGAGAACCCGCTGTGCATACAAGAAAAGAAAGAAGAGGTAGTGTAGCAAAGAGAAGGGAACTACGAGGAATAGGAGAGAGTAAGAAGAAGAAATGAGAGAGGTGATATGGGAGAGGGGGAGAGGGGGAGAGAGATCCGTACCTGCATTGGAGTTCCACCGGAAATTGTTGTTAGGGTTTACGACTTCGCCAAAAAGAGAAAGTAAGAGAGAGCAGAGAATTTCAAGAGAGAGAGAAGAGTATATTTTTTCAAATTAATTGAAATAGAGTACCTATCTGTGGTGCCTGACTTGATCATATTATTGTTCTGTACTTGTTAGATTTATGAATTATACAGGTAAATAGTGAGTATTATTAATAATTCTTGATTTTATTACCTCGCTGAGGTTAGTATGATACTTGCTGAGTACATGGGGTCGGTTGTGCTCATACTACACTCTGCACTTAATAGTGCAGATCCAGGTGTTAGACCGAGTGGTGGCTAGTTGTGAGGTCTTGTTGTGAGCACTTTGGAGAGACGAGGTAGAGCTGCATCTCGACTGCAATCTTGGCGTCCCTTTTCTTCCTTTTAGTACTGTTATTTTCATTCAAACAATATTGTTATATGTATTCCAAAATTGTACTTCGGTTTAGAGCTCATGACACTATATTATTAGTTCTGGGGGATTATTGTATTCGACACAGTTATTTATGTTATTAGCATTAGACTTGTACTATTTCTGTCATTATTTTCTGTTGTTGTTATGTTGGCTTGCCCAGCAAGTGAGTTAGGTGCTATCACGACCGATTTGAGGTTTTGAGTCATGACACATAGCAATGCTCGGGTCTATATATCCTGTGTAAAGTGGGAATCAGGCCGGTTGTAGTTCAAGAGTAAGGGCTTAAGGGAAAGCTACTCTTGCATGGATGTAATGGTACGATCGGTCATTTTGTGAATTTGAGCCTCGTTCCCCTATTTGATGCTTCATGTATGATTATTGATGTCTGGCTATAAATGTATATTTTTAGTGCATTACTCACCTTATATTTTGGTGTTTTAATGATTTAATGTGCGATGTTTGAACTTAGTTGACTTATTTTTATGTGTAGTATCATTGGAGTGCATAAAGAAATAAATGTTGCATGAAAAGATGTTGAAGACAGAAGAAAAGAGCAAGAAAAGGATAAAATCGGAGCAAGGCAAGGGTACCTTGCCCCAGACATCGCCCCGCTTGGCTAGAGGCACGCTCAGCCCTGCCCCAGACCTCGCCCAGCCTGGTCTATGGCGCGCTATAGACCAGGCCTCGCCTGGCTTAAGGACTGGTCCCCCAGTCCGCGAATAAATTATTTTCTACTTAGTTTTGAACTTGGAGACTTCTACCCTATCCTATAAATACTCCATAAACATGTCTAAAATGGGGGTTGGATGTTTATGAGAGGGGAATTCGACCAAGAGAGAACACAAGCTGTCGTGGAGGCCGGATTGCATCTTTTGTTCCACCAACCTTAGTAATTTTTATATTTCTTTGGATGATTTGTTATTTGGCTACCATGTCTATGTGGAGCTAAACTTCATATTCTAGGGTTGTGGTTCTTTCATGAATATTGTTATTCGAATATTGATTTTGATTTCTTGATTTATAGTGTTAGTTTATTTATTCAATCCTGCGCTTAATTATTTGATTGCTTGTTCATCAATTGAATACTACATACGAAACTAGAGTTGAACTCGAAAGTGAAAATTCTTGATTGCATATAGGATTGAGTAGAGCAATTTTTTGAACCCGGGCATCGGGGAATGGATTTGCGATTAGGATAGACATATGCTAATTGCCTTGCTTGGTTATTATACTGGAATTATGAATGCATTCTTGTTGATTCTAAATCTATATATATATAGGTGTTAGGTTAGCTTGATTAAGCAAGTAAGACCTCGATAGATAGTTACAAGTAATATTAACCATGTCAACAAATAAATCAGATAAATTAATTAGTCAATTCAATTAAAGAATACAATAGGATTGTTAGATAGCACATGACCCTAGATCGTTTTCATCGCATTGATAACATAAAACTCTGCTTTTTCTACGTTCAAAATTCATTATTTGTTTTTCCTTTATTTTAGTTAGTTTAGACTCAAACACTCTAAAGGGATAATACATAATTACCCCCCTGAGATTGTCTCATTTTATCAGTTGCACCCTTATGCTTTCCGGGGATCCTAAGACCCCCTTGTTCTTGTTAGAAGTGTAATATATACCACCTTTTTATAACTAGCACCACTCTTAAAAGAAAAGTGTAATGCAAGCTCCAATCAAATTTTTCCACGTAATTTCCTCCGTTTAATACTATTTTGATCATTATTTTATTTTTATTTTCCTTTCTTTATTTTCTCTTCTCTTTTCTATTACTTTTTTCTTTTCTTCTTCTTCTTCTTTATAGAACTTGCCACCATTAACGACCAAACCATTTATACCATTGACAATAGAAATCTTCTCGTTCCCAGTTTTTTTACCCCACTACTCAGACCTCCATTAAAAACAATTTAATGCCAACAACTTCTCCAATAAAGTTCTCTTTTATATGGAAAAATTTATCTACCGGCCACCTAAAAAAATATTAATTTCAATTGAGAAAAATATAACCCAAACTTTACCCAAAGCAAAATAGATTGGACTAGCATCCCCCATCTTTCTCGGTGATAGTTTTGGCGGAAAGCCAGCTGGGAATCGCTATTTTCGGACCATCGATGTGACTAAAATGGAACTTTGGATTTTTGAACTGCGCTAAAAGCCCAAAAACAATTAATAAAGTATAGATAATAACCAAATCAGATATACAAAATAATAAAAATAATGAGATGGTGCTTTAACAGATTTAGAATTTAAAGGTATTTCAAATCTTGAGAGAGAAGATCCGAGGAAAAGTGAGAGTGTGAAAGGGAGGGAGATAAAGCAGAGATAAAAATTGTCGTTGTGTTGAAGATGAGATGTGGTGGGAAAAGTAAATATGGCTGATGAAGAAGAGATGAGGAAGAAGAAAACAAGAAAGAGAAAAAAGAAAAGAAAAAGAAAGAAAGAGAAAGAAAACAAAAGGAAAGAAAGAGAAAATAGAAAAAGATATAAAAAGGTATTCTGAAACGCTTCACACGCTGTTATGCAGTGCAAAACACAACAAATGCCAAGTAAGCGCAAAAGGTATCTGACTTTTAGTTACTTTATTACTTGACGACCGCGTATGATTGCGTGTGCGTTTGGCCACAACAAGTGGAGGCCGGTTTCATCTTTTCTTCCACAAACCATAGTAATTTTTATGTTTCTTTGGATGATTTGTTGTTTGGCTACCATGTCTATGTGGAGCTAAACTTCACGTTCTAGGGTTGTGGTTCTTCCATGAATATTGTTATTCGATTATTGATTTTGATTTCTTGATTTATCGTATTAGTTTATTTATTCAATCTTTCGCTTAATTATTTGATTGCTTGATCATCAATTGAATAATATCTACGAATCTAGAGTTGAACTCGAAAGTGGGAATTCTAGATAGCATATAAGATTGAGTAGAGCAAGTTTTTGAACCCGTTCATCGGGGAATGGATTCGCGATTATAATAGACATATGCTAATTGCCTTGCTTGGTTATTATACTTAAATTATGAATGCATTCTTGTTGATTCTAAATCTATAGAAATATAGGTGTTAGGTTGGCTTGACTATGGAAGTAAGAACTCGATAGATTCTTACGAGCAATATTAACCATGTCAACCAATAAAACAAATAAATTAATTAGTCAATTCAATTAAAGAATATAATAGGATTGTTAGATAGCTCATGACCCTAGATCATTTTCATCGCATTGATAACATAAAAATCTACTTTTTCTTTGTTCAAAATTCACTATTTGTTTTTCCTTTATTTTAGTTACTTTAGAGTCAAACACTTCTAAATTTAATTCTTTTTTAGATAATTGGGATAGTCTAATTTAGCTAATAGTTAATAACAAGTTCTCATGGGTTTGAAATCCTACTTGTAGTCACTTTATTACTTGACGATCGCATATATTTGCGTGTGCGCTTGGATGCAATACTTATTTATTATTTTATAACTTGCGGGGACTGTTGGTTTGGTTTCGGGAAAGTTTTGGAGTTAATTGGAGCACTTCGTTCAATCGTTGGAAGCTTAAGTTATGAGAGTTGATGAAGGTTTGACGTTTGTGTAAACAATCTCGGAATGGTGTTTTGATGGTTCCAATAGGTTCCTATGGTAATTTTAAAATTAGGAATATGTCAAACCCCGAACTCGGGGAGCGCGACCAGCGCTCAACCGAGTGGACCCGTCCGAGCAAGCCTGTTAGATTTTCTTCTACCCAAACTCATCCATGAATAAAGAGGAGATATACTCCATTAATAAAACACTGAAAAGATTTCATTAGCAACTCCCATTTCATTTTCATTAGCAGTTCCATTTATAATTTATAAAATATTACAATTTTATAGATATAATGAAAAATATGTTTGCCAAATACCAACATTTCTAGTTCAATTCCCCTCATCAAACACCACCCACAACCTGTCTACGGAGCCTCTAAGTACAACAGAAGAGTAATATGAAAATGCCGGCAATAAGGCCCCGGCTATACCTTAAAATAGACAGTACAACATCAAATGACATCAATCCCGGAATAGAGTAGGGCTCACCAAAACCTGCTGAATAGGGAGTAACTGCTAACGAGGACCAAAGTTGCCCGCTGATGAACCACATGCATCCATTGAAGATGCATCGCTCCCGGCAAAAGGGACGTTAGTACATATGGAATAGTACTAGCATGTAAAGCTAAATGTCCTCTTTCAAAATAGAATGCCAATATAAGAAAGGGATAACCAGAGAAACAACATGTAACAATCAACAATATCCAAATGCCCAGTTAAAACATACTAATTTTTAAAATACGAAAATAATATATATTTTTCGTTGGGAGATCATTAGTACCGATATACCACCATGATTTTAGCACGAAGTCTGATCACGTCCGATCGGCTAGGCCATCTCCCCACGAACAATGTGGTTTGACATGTAGTGCGAAAGAAAGGTGTTACCAAGAGTAGTACCACCATGTGCGCAACATGATGTCCGATCTCCACCCGATCAGCTAGGACGCCTCCCCACATATG